TATAAGTTAAAATTGTAAAAGTTATAGATTGGAATAATACTTAGTTACACGATTCCAAGCGGAATTCAGCGGGTTTTCATCATCTGAGAACGGAGGCTATTTCATTTAATTTCACTAATGACCAATGTTTTCGACCATTCATTAACACCAATTTATGAATTCCCAGTTACACGTTTCCCATCGACTCGTTTTCGACCGTTGATTAAAGAGTACAACATCAATTTTCACGGATTGCTGACGTGTTTCTTTTAAATTTGCAAAATTGAAACACATTGCCAAGTCAAACCTGTACTCGTTCATCTTACAATCACGCATTATACCTTTTCATACTCTCTTCAGTATAGCCACTGGTAAGTCATATTCTCTTCCTAATCTAATAAACATGGAAAAGAGGAGAAGCAGATCCATCGTCACTCAAATAGCGAACTCAGAGATCTGTAATCGAGATGGAAATGGCATTATTTTCCATCCATGACAACCTGTCATGTATTTTAGCCATTTCATCCCATCATCCAAATCAGAGATTGATATGAACAACACAAAATACTTCCACAACCACCTTGATTTAAGAGATTTTAATCAAATTCAAGTTCAAACACTCAAAGCAGAAATATGCGGCAATCCTCCGTACGACTCAATACATGGGAGCCCATTCAGAGTGATGAAAGAAGGAGACGAGGAATACAGACCAGCATACATGCCCTTGTTATCAGATCTGAATGGTTACCTACACAAAGGTGCAGGTCAATTCGTTAAGTGGCTATGCCTACATCGGAGCCCATTTGCTGAACAATTGATTCCACAAGATGTGGTCCCTATATTTGATTTGCGATTCGAGATAAACCCACATCAAATATGCAAGTACACTCTTCCAATCTTACAAAGGGAAATTTTCATGGGAGCTTATAATGCTGGTGTTCACGTCATGGTAATAAACGACTTCATTTCAAAAATATCATTCGACATATACTCTTGCACGACAAAACGGACAGGGAACAGGTACTATCGAACATCTATACAGTCGGAAAGGGCAAACAAATTTCCAGGCCAATTCAATTTTAAGAGGGGTAGCACTTTAATAATATGGAATGCCAGAGACGTGCACATGCCATCGTTTTCGGAGAATATGAAAGTAATTGTGGACAACTACTCGCCACTGATGGTGATTATAACAGAGGCGAGGGTCCGCAAGCCAATGATGCAATTCGTCCGTAATTAGCTCAAAGGAAATTACAAAGCAGACGTATTCGGACCCAACTCAGGGTTAGGTGAGGTGTTCTATCTGTACGCAACTGGGGCTTCTCCACACTACTCTCACTGGAAACACTCTCTGTATGGTCTTGTTTTGGCCGTCGACGTCATCGTAAGTTATGTGCTTTAATTATTTGATTAATTAATTGACGCTTGAACTCTACCTTATCTGAACTTTTTCGTTCTTTCTATTATCCCAGTAAACGTCTCATTGATATCGGACCATCAGATCTGTCCGCCGGAACTCAGTGACTATATTAAAGGCTGAAAATGGGGTCGACAAGGCAAGCAAAAACTTGTTCATCAACAATAGAGTAACCTTTTGGTAATACTAATTTAGTGTCACAGGTGCTTAATCTGTCGTAAATTTCCGTATTAGTTGTTGCTATGCGTTGTTGAGTACAACTGTCTAACAATACTGTTCTGTTGTATGTATTGGTCAACTGATTACACAATGTATGTTCGAAACATGAAATTAATTAAGGTGATGAATTACAGTCTTTTACATATGAAACTACTATTATACAATTATTCCGTATGTATACAATTATAGTTGGCAATATCTACATAGCTTTACTCGTATTCTTTTAAGAATATGAAAAAGCGCCAACAAGTAAACCGCCAAATCGAAATTTCAATTAATTTGCCACCACTTACACGAAATTACAGCCTTTTGGCGCCAAGCTTCATCCCCTTAAATCACCCCCCACTCCTCAGATCATTTCACAACACTCCTCAAACCGTAATTCAAAATTCATTAAACCAAAATGAACTACCTAAAAATAAACGCACACACAATTTAGACAAGAAAATCTTAAGGCTTTTGTATGAGCAATGAATGTAGGAAAAAAATTGTGTTGTTCAGAAATAGAATGGTCCCTTTTGTCTTGCTCCGTACCCCGACGCTTACTGTGAAGGTGAAGCCTACACGTCCAATGGGAGATTTCCCTGAACAACTTAAGGGGGTATTGGCCATTATACAGCCAATCAAAAAAGGAGAAAATCACGCAGTTACTGTCCAGTTGGTCACTGCATCTACTGTAGCTACTTGGATAGCCATAGGCCAATGACCGTCTGGTGACCTGTTGCTGCTGAAAAAGAACTCCGTCACACCAGTTCACTTAACAGATCTGTCTGACTTGGCCCTGCTCCCATTAGCTTTGAAGATAGCCATACAGAAGAAACTCAAAGAAGAAGGGGGTGTCCAAGGAATCGGGTTAGAACATGTAATTCCAAAGTGCGTCGCAAATATTGTTGACTCCCCATCCATATTACCAACCGTGATGGAAACGTGTAATATTAACGCTGGAAGGCACAGGATGGAGATCAACAGCTACTCAGATGATTTGAAGATTTTCACCACTTCCAGTATGTTACGCCTGAATGAAGTGTGCGCATGCTGGGAGTGGATAAGTGGAAACCCACTAGATGGAAGAAAGGTGACACTTGACTTCAACATAGTGAAATGCCAGAACAATGTTGGAGGTGCTAGGGTCTTGGTTTGGAACTGCAAAGATGTATCCAGATCATCATTTCTACCTCAATTCCAGCACATGCTACACCTACACATGCCTGATTTGGTTGTGTTAATCGAGACAAGGTCATCTGTTCGTATGGCCCGTTTCATTTGTAGCAAGGTGAACATATACAAATCTATCGGAAGATCGGTGTACGAAGTCATTGGAGGGGTCTTGTTGGTTAACATGTCTAAGCGATTGACCATTGAGAACTATCTGGAAGACTACTCAATGAATGTTTGGAATGTCGTAACATGATAGATTAGTGCTTGTAAGTTCGCTAGTAGTTGTTTCATCCTAAAATTTGATTAGTGTCCTGAAAATTGTAATGGCCCATTCTGAATGCAATATTACAAAGTTTGTAGTCCACCATGTTGTTCTATATTAGAAATTTTACAAAACTTGAATTATGCAACAACTAGCTCAATAAAACATTGGCGCAGTCCATAATGTTATGTAATAAGTCCAGGACATAGTCCAAGCCTTGGACTGGACAAACATATTATCAAAACAATAATCTAGTCCATAAATGAGACCCAATATTTAAAAGGCCCAGTCATGGATTAGTACACACAACTGCCGTGATAATATGTTAAATGGGCCAGTCCATCAATTAACCGAACCGTAGGACAACAAAATATAATTGTACGAATACCTGGCCGATATTTGGGCCAACCCAATTATGGAACATGGAAAATCTACGGAGTTCAGCAATTAAATGGGCCGATAATGTATGACCCAGATTTGGTAATTCTACGGAGTTCTGCAATATAATGGGCCGATATGGTCATTCACCATCTCAACAAACTTCACCACCTTTCACACTCATCAACACAGACTCTCTCTGAAAATGGTTTCAAACTATGAAACATACACCCAGGAACCCCATCACCATCACCAACCCCAACGAGCAGCCCAAACCAGCTAGCATCACCTCCTTTTCTGTACAAGCAGCAGACACTCGAAACATGGAACACGTATGTCTCAGATCTAGCCCCCCCGTAGCTGGGATATCTGACCTGAACCCAAACATTATTATGTTCATGCTTGAGACATCTCATATCGAAGATGTGAAGGTCACCCCGGCGGAGGTCCTAAGGCAAATCATCTACAACCCACTTGTAGTACCTGAAGAATGGAAAGAGATGAAAATGCTGAATAACAAGGGGGATCTGATCCAAGCCCACCTCCCAAACATTTCTGATTTGGTATTTCTCTTAACTCTGGTGAAGCAGCTTTTTTTCTGGTTAATGGAGAAATTGTCAGAAGAACGGTCAATGGATGTCATCCCTCTAGAATTCGCCTACATACTGGATCCACCTCCACTTCTCCCCCCTGTGATCGAAATGGTTAACCTCGGCTATAGGCACTTAATGTGCACACAGTGAGTTGGACAAATGCTATGAAGTTACTTCGCGCGAGGCGACCCGAAAACCAGATTCAGCTAACTGTATCTTGGGAACCAAGCACCTCACCGGACAAGGAAAGGCCAATACACATATGCTGTGTCCCTAGGCACTATGTCCTAATTGAACCCTGCACTGGACTGGAGAAACAGTATGTCACGAGCTTCACATATGAACAGGTAGAGCCTTTTCATCACCCACAAACCATCCCAAACTTACTTATACTTTACTGGAATGCAAGAGGAATGGCTCGGCGATCATTCCTCCGAAACATCAAGGACCTGATCATACAGCACCAACCTCATATGGTTGTTATTTCAGAGAACAAGTTATGCAGATCAGACACAGCTGCAGTCCTTAGTATGATTGCTTACGATAAATGGATGATGGTTGACCCAACAGGAATTTCAGGGGGAATTGTGGTGTTCTGGCGAGAGGAGAACGCAGACTTTGTTCCTATTAATACCACTCTCAGTAGTGTCCATGGTGTCATTCAGGTTAGTCTCTAACACCACCCCATTTTCACATAATATTATGTTCCAGATAACTTCCCTGCCTGAATACAATACATGAAATGCACATCGTGTTGCAGGGACCAAATGCATGATTGGATATCCGCCTGGGAATTAGTGTTGTAGTGAAGCAATAATGGATAATAAGTAATGTAGGATTAGATGGACTGCTGCGAAGAAGATGCAGATTCTAACAATGTTCTAGCAGCATCAATTGCCACTATGGGTCAATTGTTAGGGATTAGTTTCAGTTTGTACTAAATCAGCAAACTTCAGTTTGTACTAAAAAAATAGATCTGTAATGTTTATTTCAGTTTCTTCATCAAATGAATTGAAAATTATTCTCAAATTCAAACGCCTTACATGAAGTGAACATATTTGGCTATCTAATGTTCGTTCCAGAGGGGAACATTTATTACAGTTGATACACCAAGGCCTACTGATACTGTTCAAACTACATTGCTAACATACAACACATTTTTCTTCTCAAATTATCATAATCGTACATAACAGTTCAAGCCGCACCTACAACGTGGAAAAATACACTCACTACGCATGACAACGGGACCATAGAATCTCACAATCATGCACTAGGTTCTAAACAAGTAATAACTCACGTCAAAAGCCTTCCCTAGATGGTGAGGCATGACAATGGGTGGTAACAAAACAGCGAATCCCGGTGTATCTAATCCGACGTGCCTTAGGGGCTTTATGTGTATATGGGCCTTCCTCAACCACCTAAACAGGTAATTAGCCGAATTGTTAGCAAAAACCAATACAGATTCTGATATTGTCCATTAACTATGCTTTGCATACCTCATTGTGCATCACAATGGGACCATTGCTATCACGAGCCTCCCTGGGGTGGTCCTCTCCATATTCCACATCAAGCATCTGAAATTAAATAGCAACCGATTAATTTACACAAAATAATTAGTAACCAAATCAGCCACCATTACAGCACAATGCAATGCTTTTACCCCCATTTTTCCAAAATCACCATCGGGAGACTTCCGATCCAGTCTAGCTACTAAACCAACCTCATGCATACTCCACACCTTAAGCCTGGGAAACAATCCCCAAGAAAGTGGAACCTTATTCAACCTATCCAAATAGAAAACCTGCAAACATCATCACCAACATATCAGAATGTTCATTGAAACCATCAACTACAGCAGCAACAACTGACATAACTTACCACAATGAATAGCAAGCATCATCCACTTCCTCGAGCATAACCATTATCATAAAACGTCCGGGCAAAAGTCGCCACACTACATAATAACTTCGACACAACCAACCCACACCAGTCAAAATCAATACACTCTTGTGCATAAGTTAACGCAGGAACAAGATCCGCCGATATTCTAGGGGATTGGGTGGGACATAGAACCATATGCAGGGACAACAATAGAAACAAGGTCTTAAATTCAGCTTCCTCCCCATCGTTCCATTCCCCTTCAAGTCTCTCCATTACCATGTGATTCACTGATATACCCTTACTAATGTACACACGACCTTCATATCTACTACACCTGGTTTCCCAAGAACTACCATACTCTCTCAGTAATGCATCTACTCTATCCTTTATTTCAGAGGTCATGTTTTTCTTAGTAGGAACTGGCTTCCCACCGTTTGGAATTCCTAAAACCCAATACACTTGGTTTGGAGACAAACTAAATTCTTTACCATCTGGTGATATCAGAGTTTTGCTAACCGGATCAACACGAGTTAGTAACCAATATGCCAGTTGCCTTGGCAACTGCATTCCTAAAGCAGCAAGGTGCAACAAACCCCCAAACCCCATTTTTGTGACCCACCGCCTTCGTCTGCCATCAAACTTCTGACATATCCTACCAAAAGACTCTATGCGACATGTCAAGTTTGGAGCCTGCAAATAATCCCTTACATAAGTATTGAATGATATCTAATCCTTTCAATACCAATTTACAACAGCATACATGAAACACAAACCTTTGAGGTACCAATTGCATACTGCTTCAAGACCTCACCCCTAGCTTTTACTAACCTACCGAAAGTCATGCAATCATCCTTCACAATACACATATGGCAAAACCATCAAAAGTGCAATATTCAACAAATTACAAACATATCCAGATACAAGTAACATGAACTCATATATTTACCTTGAACATCTCTGGGTATAGCGGTCCAATCTTGCAACCATATATGAACCGCAGAATACATCACATTCAATGGATAAGAAATAACAACTAATACTAATAATAATGAATCAAACATATGCAAGCAAATACCTTATCACTAACCCTTTTCCATTTTGCATTCAGACCAAGTTCCTACACCATACGCCAGCATCAGCATAAACAACCACAAAAATATGTACAACAGATAATTTAGGGCCCATGCAATTACCAATTCAAGATGTACACAACGATAGTCTTGTTCCTCATTGTGATAAATTTCCATAGCTGAATTCACCATTTCACCAACTCATTCCCCTTATACAACCTAGTTCTAAGCACATAAAACAACATTAATAAGGCAACGCACATGTGCAAACAGAATTAATATACTAATTTCACCAACTACTTTCCAAACCCTAAATGAACTCTAAACTTAAATCGCCGCCACAACAATCGGCACACCACATCGCTCAAACATAACTTCAAATTATATAAAACACATACAATAAAGTATTAACAATCCAGACGCACTGCAATTTGTCGTGATCTTACCTCCAGCCGTCCAGAAATTTGACGTATTGTTGATGTCCAGAAATTTAACTTGATGTTACCTCCGACTCCCGTCCGCAGCAACGTCCAGGGAATCCTCCGGATAATTTGGGTACAGGGAAATAACCACTAGCAAAACATCCCCGGAATTGTGAAGAGAGAGCGGGGAGGGAGCAAAATCAAAGAAAGACAATAGAGGAGAGAGAAAATACGACAACGATTTTGACAGAGGAAAGAGATAATTTGACAGAGGATAGAGGGTAACGCCTTCAAACGATCGTCAACTGTGAAGAGTTACATCTCCAACCAAAAAGACAGTAGTACCCTCACCTATGACGTATAAAAGTACTAAAAAGCCCCTTGATAAACGACTCATGTTTCTCAACATGATAAACTTGAATTTGCTCATTGCTTTATATCTATCTGAATATATACTTAAGGTTTAGCTAGTCAAGCGCAGGATGAGTAATAAGTACAAGCTACAATATGTACACCATTTTTTTTTTCTCTCTAATTGGACTTTGGCATAATATATTATATATGTACACTACTTTGACTAATATTTTTACTATAAATTCAAACATAGTCATAAAAGTATTTGTTAGAATCATCTCAATGTATTGTGTCCACATGTTAAATTTTATAATCTATATTTAGTACTAATTAAAGATAATTTGTCTAAGTAATCCGTCCTTTGACAAATATACCGATCAAAGTGAGACACTTACATAAAAAGTTAGAAGCAGAGGGAGTATTAACTTATACTTGTAACTTATGGTTCTAGCAGATTAATAGTTACGGAAGTAGTAGCTTATTTATGAATTTTGTTTATTAGTTATGATTATCAGGTAATTTATTATGCATATATGGTTATCACTTGTGGTTGTCAAGTGGTTTTTTTTTTTTTTTTTTTCCATTTTATTCTTTACATTTGGTATTATGCATAGTGTATTATTAGTGTGAAAATTTTAAAGTAAGATTTATTACTTCATTATTATTATTATTATTATTATTATTATTATTATTATTATTATTATTATTATTATTATTATTATTATTATTATTATTATTATTATTATTATTATTATTATTATTAAGAGGGTTGCGCAATTAATTTTCATGTTTAGCAGTTTTTGTCAATCTTTGCAGCCATGTCAGATTGCTGGATTTGAGGGAGTCTAGTTAGTAGCCCAATCACATGTTGACGAAGACATTTAGATGAAAATTGTTAACGTCTCCATGACTTGATTTTTGGCTTAGTCATTAGATGCATTTATTGTTGGTAGGTGGTTGAGAGGGTAAAGTCGTATCCCCTAATCAAAAGTAAATACCTAAGTCCTCTAATTAAAGTAGATAGGGAAGTAGGGTCGATCTCCACAGGGAAACAAGTCTTTTTACTCCTAATTAATTATTATAATCTAAATTATCTAAGTAACCAATATTTATATTCGAATAAGAAACTAAACTACTAAGATTGAGAATAGAGAGAAAACAATATATGAAAGGATCTAGGGTATAGGTTCACCAATAAATAATACTCCAGGGTAAAACATAGTAATCAATCATTGACATTGCATAAATAACATGATTAACAGGCTCTCGCAATTTACTAATCACCATAGATCTAACAGGCTCTCGCAATTTACTAGATCTAAGTTCTTATTGAAAATAGCCTTTAATATCAAATTAACATCTGTTCGATTCATCAATTCAATATTGCTATACTTTTACAAGCCGCAATTGTAAAACGTTAAAACAATTCAATAAGAAATTATCATGCAATACCAATAATCAATAATAGTCAATCATCAATGCATCAATTAACCAGATTGTAAAGGGCTTTCGCTACGTATTACAATCACACAATTAATTTATCGGTATTAAATCTCATCTGTCGAATCTCAACTTAACCATTTACAAATTAATCTGCCTATTAAAACTAGACCTAAACATTAATTCTCATCTGTCGAATCTCGAATCAATGTTGTCAAACTCATGCATAAAAGATCTGCGCAAATCTAGTCAAAGAGCATTAAATCAATCAATAGGAAATTAATCTAGCATTGATAATTAACAACAACAAATTACCCCTTCATATTATTTATGGATCCCCATAAACCCTAGAAATAAAACTACTCACACATATTAAAAACTAAACAAATAAAAGCAATAAAATAAGTCATGATGAAGGAAAATAAGATTAAGAGAAGAGAAATCGTTACCAAACTAATCTGTATTAATGGAAATAATCAAGAACAAGAGTTGAGAGAAGAGTTAAGAGAGAGAAAAAATCCTAAGTAGAGAGAGAAAGTCTAAGGAAGAAGATAAGTGAAATTAATCGTCCTCCAGCGTACTTAAACAAAACTAAAACAACTTCCTAATTAGAAACTAATTGCTCGACAAAAGAGCTCTTCCAGAAACACGCGCCCGATCGGGCGCGCCTTTTTCTCGCACTGCTCTCCTCAACAGCCGCGCTCGATCGAGCTAGCTGATTAGGGGATTTTTATCCTCCAATCACCTTCTGACAAGTGGACCAACCAGGTTCCGCCACGTGTCCTTCACGTAGGCCAATAGGAGCCTGCCACGTGTCAATCACAGATACGTCCTCTGCGGACCAATTAAGACACGCCACGTGTCCACCCATGCCAAATGGGAAAACCGGCCACCAAGGCCCAATCCTGTTTAGAGGCCCGGTCAGCCCTAGGTTTACCCTAAACCTAGAGAGTGGCACGCTTCTCAAGACTATAAATACTCTTCTTAATCCTCATTAAGAAGAGAGAGAAAAAAGAGACAGAACGCTAATCACACACGGATTATACATTAAACACTCTCACCTAGAGAGACTAAACCACTTTAATTTACGCACTCATTACTCCTTAATCAGGTACTAACTTGACCGTTGGAGGCGGAGCTCTCAGGAGTCTCCGTTATTTTGCAGGTGCAGGCGGCCGGTTCCAGTCTCGGTGTTGTAACTCTCCCGCAGGACATCAGAAAACCCCGAAACATTTGGCGCCGTCTGTGGGGAGAGTACTTCTGAGATGGCATCCAAGTCTGTACCGACTCCTGAAGAGAGGCGTCCCCTAAACGACCCTCAAGTTCAGTCGGACCATGACACCGAAAGTGAATTTGAAGTGGAAACTCATACAGCTCCAGACGGGACCCTAAGGGCCCGACGTACCCGTCATACCGAAAGGAGGGAACGGGAGCATCTTCAAACAGGAAGCGCGCCAGCAGGCGCACCGCCTGCTCGGCAACAGCCGACTGATGGGTCTGCTCCCATCACAAGGAACGAACTCATGACCTTCATGAGGGACTTCAAGGGAGAGATTCAAGAATTGATCAACAAAAAGCCGCCTGCTGCAGTCAAAGAGCAGTCGGCCAAAAAACCTTCCACTTCACTGAAGAGGAAGCCAGTTCAAGGGCGGGAGGCGACCCCTCATCCTAAATCCAAGAAGCGGGAGTCGCTTGCTCTTGATTTCACAAAATTCCGTCATCCGATGGGAAATAGGAAACCTGTTCGTCACATTCAGGCGGATGGGTCGAAGAAAACATACACAGACGCTCGTCTGTTGTTAGAACAGAAGAAGAGTGACCGACTGTCAGAGTCGGCCTCTACTTCAAATTTTCAAGAAAGTTTACAAAATACCTCGATGAGGCATACTCAGTCGTACCATGAGAGTCAGTCAGGCGGTACCTCCCGTCAGTCCGGCTTTCATAGTGCCCAGGCGGTACCAAACTTACCATTTGTGCCGCAACAACAGTATTTTATGCAGCCACCTCCATTTGGTGGACCTGCAGCAAAAAACGTCCAACCTATGGACTGGCAGCTACGGTTGCTTAGACTTGGTGAACAGCCGTCGGCCTTCTCCAAGGAAATTACTGAAGCCGCTCAACCGGCCAAAGTAAAAAATGTACTAGTAGGCGCCTATGACGGCACTACTAACCCAGAAGACCATCTGATGGCATTCACCAACCTGATGTACCTTCAAGGGTTGGATGATCCCACTTGGTGCAAGTGTTTCCCAGCGACTCTCAAGGGAATCGCACAGCAATGGTTCGGCAACCTGCCGACTGGTTGTGTAAGCAGCTTCAGGACGCTTGCTTACTTATTTGCCTCCAACTTCGCCATGAACATCCCTGCGAAGAAAACGACCCTTGATTTGGGAACAATTCAGCAGGGTGAGAAGGAGGGGCTTCGTTCTTACATCAGGCGGTTCAACCTGATGAGAATACAGATTCAAGGGTTACCGGATGAGGTAGCTTATACTGACTTTTTTAGAGGTCTCAAAGACGGGTCTACCTTCAAATTTGACTTAGTTCGAAAAAGGGTGGCGACTCTTCAAGAGGCCTTGATTGAAGCAGAAGCCTATATACAGGCGACTGATCTGTGTACGATAAAACAGTCGGACGGGAAAAGGTTCGATAAAAGAGAAGGACGACAGAAACAGTCGTCTAACAAAGAGGAGAAAAGAAAAGAGGTCTGGGCGGCTGATTCCTCTAAACAGCCGGCCCATAAGAAGAAAAAAGAATTCAAACCATACTCCCCAGAGTATGTGTTTAACAAGGATAACCAGTTTATCCTAAAAGAAATAAAGGGACGGTTCTCAATTGAGAAGCCGGTCCCCATGAAGGGTTCTGCTAACAACCGGAACCAAGACAAAATCTGTGCTTATCATGATGACGTTGGTCATCACACCAATGACTGCATCAGTCTCATGCGGTACCTAGACCGCTTGGCTGAGCAAGGTGATCTTGACACTTATGTCAAGAAATCTACGGGGAACACTTCCTCAAAAAAGCAGTCGGCCAAAAAGAATCAACAGGCCGACAGCTCCGATACAGATGATGCAGTCGTCTACACCATTGCAGGCGGCTTCTCAGGAGGCGGCCCCACTATTAGGGGCAACAAAGATAATATAAGGCGGTTAGATGTAAATTCCGTTCACCAAGAACGGCCGTCCAAATATACATTTCCTGAGATTGTCATCACTGAAGAGGATCTAGGAGGGGTAAGGGGGCCGCATGACGACCCTCTCGTTATTGAATGTAAAGTGGCCAACCAGAGAGTTGGCCGAATCCTCATAGATACCGGGAGCTCCTCAGATCTCATCAGCAGCAAATGTCTGTCAAAACTGAAATATCAGACGGACTGCATACATCCGGCCTCTCACCCTTTAATAGGGTTTGGAGGAGGAGTCGTCCACCCACTGGGACGAGTAGATTTACCCATTCGCCTGGGCGAAAAAGGGGAAGGACGACACATGGTAGTCCGGTTCCTAGTAGTAGAGGAACTCTCGGCCTACAACATGATTCTGGGTCGACCAACCCTGAATAATTCCAAGGCTGTTATAATCCCGTCTCTTATGCTGCTTAAGTTTGGGAGGGATAATGGAACAGTCGGCTCCCTAAG